GCGGTGGACCGAGTTGCGCGTACGTTTTCTAAAGTAAAAGCGCGGTGGACTGAGTGTGTACGCGTTTTGAATGCACCTATTGGATGAAAGAGCTAACTTTTTGAAACACTTACATGCGACGATATTCGAGAAAAGCAGCCATGGATTCAGACGAGGGTGTTAAGTCTGCATGGACAAGTATTGCATGCACCTGGAATCGGCTTTGGATAGTGGTGTAATCGCAAGGGTCCAAAAGCTTGGGTTATAAAGAGACGAAGGACCGGAAACGAGAACACCCCGAGTGATAGAAAAGAGTCCTTAAGTAAGGAAGATTGGTACCACCCCCGGAAGCTAAGGGATGTGGGCCCTTCCGGCAAAATGGGAGAAGGCGCCACACAGGAACCCCGTAAAAAAAAGCTGTTTGTTGGGAAATGGGGCTAAAAATAAGAAGAAAATATTGATGAGAGAAAAATAAGGAAGGGATATGGAGAGGGTATACGGTAGTGACTCATTGTACGAAATGGAGGAATGTTACATAAAAACCTATGAAATGTTTAAACTTATTTATACTAGATTTATACTAGATGTATTTATACTAGATTAGTGCCCACTTCAGGGTGTGACTCTGTAATTCTTTCTCTTCATCTTTCGTTGTTCAGCTACAGTTCGTGGCCAGTTTTTCAACTGTGCAGCTGGCAATTTTTCCAGCTGCGTTGACTTGGTGTTTCAGCCTGCTGGCGACCTAGATGTTTATTTTGAATAGATTACTAGCTGGACGATCCCTTTAATAGAAGCATTTCGTAATGTTCATATTATTGAAGAAATGTTTTGTACAGATTCGTAGCATTTTCTTCTAGTTTTCTTTTTTTTTTTTTTGTTTCTAAACTATCGAATTCTGTTGCACTGTTGTCCATATTAATCGTTCTTGCAAATGCATTTAGCAATTTTTTATTTTAATAAATTTTTAAAAAACGTCACATTTCTACAGTGTTCCCACTCATAATCATATTCATTTTAAACCCAACCCCTAGAAAGCAGCAAAAATATGACATTGAGCAATTCCCTCAACAAGGAAGCAAAAAACAAGCAAACGAACG